CTAGTAAAACCAACACCTCCGCAACCAGCAGATGGAAGAACAGTTTGTATCTTAAATTTTCTTCTCTCTTTGTTACAGTAATGAGTTTTTAAGCCTAAATTACAAAGAAACAAAAATTAGTACAGCTAAAGGGAAAGCCCAGAATTTACAACAACACCGAGAAGCAAGAGATTTTTCTTCAATATTACCTAACATTTGAGTTATACGGAAATGAATGACTAAGATTAAAAACAGATCTAAACAATACCAAAAATCAAATTAAACAGTTAAAACACCCAAAACCAAGAGGCCCAAAACCTAATGTGCAAGCAAAGGCGTTCTTGTTATTTCTTTGGTATGATTTGGTATGAAAGGTACGAAGCTAGATATCACATAAATTATGCAGGCTGTGAGCAGCATTTAGGTCGCTAAACTAAAGCATGTTTTGATGCTGTAAACTTTTCTCAATTTATAAGTTGGAGGATTTTATTGAGTTGAGCAAGAATGCATCTTCAATTGTCCTCTACCCTTCAACTTTTTAATACAGCATAGCTTGTCCGCACCATACTCCATGAAAGAAGTAACCATGGACGTCCAGGCAGTAGGCAAGTGCGGCCTCACAAACTTGCAACCAAGGATGGCAGAAAACGAAACTAACAACACAAGTCAACTAGAATAGAGTACATGAACAAAAAACCTACACAACACAAAAATAGGAAATTGATGTGTATGTGTGTGGGGTTGAATTCGTGCCCCCATTTTTTTACATAACTTTTGACGTATTTTTTTGGGGCATATTTCGTAATATATTTCAACTATCTAAACCGTCTCTAAAGATATAGGTCCCTTTCGTGTATTTAAATTACTTCTTTGGTATCTGAATTTTGTCAATTATATGTATATGCATGTATAGGTCCCCGCTGAACTTTTCAAGCTCACCCTAACTAAATTTTGCAAGTTTACGAACTAGGCAATCCTAGAGGTTAGACGAACTGAGTTGGTAATAGATAGGAGGCTTGGAGTTTATTAGTGCTGGTATGTTTGTAAAAATTCTTGGTAATTTGTATAAGAGCAATTTTATTGGAATTTTATTTTTATCCTTTATTTATTTATTAAATTTTAAATCGTGTGTTGGAATTGGGGTTTTGTACCAAGTACCAACCCTGGGCCTAGGGCGGTTCCACAGAAGCGTGTTAAAAATTATTTCACAAAAAAGTGTCACAGATTCATCCATACATATACATACATATATATATATATATATATATATATTTCAATTTCACAATAAGTTAAACTAAAGATGGAAAACCTATAATTAATCTTGGAATAATACAATTAAAAAGATGCAGTAATCACAGTTGACTAAACTGAACTCCAAGTGCGAATCAATCAGATGTGCAGTAACCCAATTTAATTCAATATAAAAATGATATTGCAAAATATAATTCCACATAAATATCGGAAATACAACACTTCGGAATAACATTATTCAAAATTACAAGTCTACCTTACCTATGACGAGGAGCCTCCAGGCAGAAATCATAAATCGAACTTGGAATAAGGTCAACAGAGCAATGAAAATTCCTTAAAAATATTGATTTATCTTTAGTTTGAAGCCGATTGCCTTGTAACATTGTGTTTGGTTGTAGAGAGGGAGGGCATATTGCTGTTGCCTGTTGGAGTATTGACTCGATCAACATTTGTAATTTAAGAATACTGAAAGAGATTTACAAGTGCCATTGATCATGGCAGAAATCTCTGAATCTCGTACACATTCCTCTGGTGCTTTGTGCTTGCCCTGAAGGTGGAAGAAGCCCCGCTGCCGAAAACGCTTTTCCCATCTGTTCTCTGCTACCGGAACCTATAGATATATTGTCGTACCAATATCATTCATTACTTGGTTACAAAAACTGAATTCTGAAACTCAACATTCCCTATGGTGTCTAGTATACACAATTACACACCAACAAGGAAGTTAACACTCAAAAACCTCCCAAGAAAGAGGAGGGAAGAGGAAAGGAACCGTAGAACAAACACTAACATTACTTGTACAGACAACTCACAGGTATGGCGGATGTATATCCTTCCTAAATCATACACCCAGCACTCTGCACAAACATAACCATTTAAATAGAAAGCCATGGGAGCATTATTATTGCCAATGTACCTTCGCTGGTATTGCAACACATACCATTCTCTTCTACTACTTACAATGCATTGAACATATATATACAGACACACACACACACACACACACACACACACACACACATTATCAGTTCTGATCCTAATAGGAAAAAGAAGTTTATACGACCATTTTCAAAGAACTCTCTTATGATCACGCATGTGAGACTACATGTATATCCCAGATTACAATCATGCAATTTATATATGATACCTGGAGCAGTCATCCTCCTTTGTTGAAATGCAATTCTTCTAAAGGTGATAGAACCCTTAATCTCAGAACGATACTTCACAAGTAGGGAATTGGATTATATATATACACAGATTTCATCTGATTTCCATCTATCGTGGAAATCAGTTACTGCAGTTGTTGGTGTTAACCCAAGTCAATCTGCCGTTTCATCCACTCCATGATTTGATGCTCCACATGCAGTGCAATGTGCTTTACAGATTCCACTGTGCTTTACAGATTGGAATATGGTTCCCACGTTAAGGATGTAATGATTATGCATAGTGGACAGCAAGGCCACTGCATGTGTATACTGATTGATGATTCATAGACAGCAAGGATGCAACTTCCAGTTGTTTTGTTTATTTGCATGCGTGTGTAGTAATCTATGAATAAAACTCTGCTGCAATTGCAGCAGATGATGATTAAAAGAAAGATAGAAATATAAATACTTATAATGTTAGTCAAGTCCAATTAGGTATCCAACAAATCTGAGTCCCCAGAGAGTGAGGGAGTGGATTGCTTACCACGTCCGGCTGTTCGGGCCGAGATCCCATTTCGTAATCCACGACGCCGGCGGGATCCATGAGGAGGTGCTGGAGGTTCTGAAGCCATGGATGGAGCTCGGATACGTGACGCTGCAGGACATCAGGGAGCAGGAGAGGTTCGATGGGTATTATCACAACCAGTTCATGGTGGTGAATGATTGCTTGCACATGTATAAATTTGAATTTCTGGTTCTCACTCTTGTTTTTATGGATCGAAATTGGTGGGTGTGCGTGGAGGGTGAGTGCAGAGGAGAGAAGGAGGGGAATGAGTGGGTGTGCGGGGAGGTTGGGTGCAGGGAAGAGACTGGAGGGAGCGGGTCGGGAGGGGTGAACGGACGCCCAGCTTTTTTTATTTTTATTTTTATTTTTAAAATTTTAAAATTTTTTAATATTCACGTGGGTCCTATATTGACATATGATGTCCAGTCATTGTCCATGTAGGCACCACGTCATCAGTCAACGAGTGATTTAACAGTCAGACTAACGAATATATGAGACTGTCCCAAAATTAACACTTTAGGTATGACTTTGGGATGAAAAAAATTTCATATACCAAATATTGAAAATCACGAAACTTAAAAATAGTGAGCTGAGATTTACCCAATAAAAATTTAAGATGAAATAAAAATATTTCTTTAAAGTGCCATGATTTATACTTGCACTAGCTTTTAGTAATTACTAGAAAGTGTGACCCGCGCGTTTCTGCTGGATTGAAAATTTTATGACAAATTATGATTAAAACATACAAAAGATAATGCATCCAATGATTGTGGACCTAATAATCATGTAAATGTCATCAAACCAAAGTAAACTTTCATTTAACTAAGTTCTTGGCACTTCAGTTAAATCTCAAGTTTTAAAAAGTAGTTCAATTTGACTAAAATTATACAGAGTGAGGGAAAAAGACAACAAATAGTTGCGGAAAGGTGTACATTGACACTAATCCTGCAAGTCAAATATGAAAAATGTTAAGAATGTAGAAGCTTAAATTATCCCTAGCATCAGTAGATTAACAGTGAAGAAACAAAATTCATTTATTTATATTGAATTGTCGCTTGACAATTCAGCATGGGAAAAAATGCAAGAAAAAAATATTGTTAAATATCATGTGAATAAGTGAATAACAGCGAACATTACATATAGCATAACATGAATATGCATGTGCATGGTAAATACTACGCAATAATATGCATAGGCAAACACTAACTATCAATTAACCATTTTAATTAACACTTTAAAAAAGTTGTTTTAAGTATAAAAAGATCTAATACAAAGAATAGAACACTGAATATTATAAAAAATAAATCCATATAATATACAGACACAATGATTACACAATGATTATGAAAATATATATCATTTGACAATACAAAATCAAGCAATGTCTAAAGATGACAAAAAGATCCCAAACAATGTTTTTGACCCAAAAAATGAAGATCCTAGATAGTGTTTATTACAGAAAGCAAAAACGTTAGATCATATGCATTGAAACAATTAACGAATTTTCAATGAGCAATACCAAGTGTTTATTACTTAAGATCATTAAGTAATGATTGCTCACCTTTTCATCAACCAGTATACGTGCAGACCTGTATATTTATCAGTTGCCATCAGAACAGGCAGACTTTAATTTTTACTGCCTTTTTATACGGTTATCAGTTCTGATCCAAGTAAACTAAAAAAAACCAATTATAATTAAAGATTTATTAGTTATAGGCTAAATCAAACAATGATTGTATCTCAAGAAGTGAAAGATAATTAGTTGTGCCTAGTTTTATGTCAACACTTCATATTACATCCAATTTAACTATTACAACAATATAGTGACACACTTAACATAAAATTCTGCCAACCATATAACAATAGTAAATCAAGTAAGTAATTTGCAAAAATTAGAAATGTATCATAAAAAGTAAATATCTTATGTTATACGTGTTAAAATGATTAACAAATTCTTAGTCAGTCGTATCTTATTAAGACTCGTGGCTGAGAAAATAAGAAGGGAGAAAGAGAGAAATGAAACATTACCATCTAGTCTCTTTAACTGTGCAAAACCTAAAATTCACATAGTCAACGGCCATACTTGAAACCAATGAATAAAAAATTAATAAAACTTCATCAGAGATTCAGAGTAATAGTTAAAAATTTGGAAGACCCAAATAAAAATCATTTAGCTATAAACAGTATGCAAAAACGTGAAGAAAAAAAAATAGAGATGCACTAAGACCATAATTCATGACTATTATCCAAAATCTCCAAAGTAAACATACAATCAAATAGATTCCTCTCTATTTTTCATCTCTCTCCCTGTTATTTAGTATTGTGATAAGGTTATGATAAGCAATTATTTTTTCAAAATTTAATAATAATAAACATCACAGTATAAGTTTAACATGAGAGAAAGAGTCAATCTCTACCTTTGATATGTTGATCCTACCATTCCCCTACATACTTGATCCTTTTTAAGTCCACCTATTGGCAAAATAATAAAGACAAAACTTGTAACACTATTTAAACAAAAAGAGATTTCTCAATCAGAAAAAGCTTCAATTTCAATTAATTTATTCTGTGATCGCAATATTGGAACTTGCATTTGGTTCAAAAAAGTAATGTAAATTGATCAAGCAAAAGAAACTACAAATAGAATCTATACCAATTGGTTTAAAAGCATTAATCAGTATGACAATGAAAATTTCATACTAAAATCTCACCTTGTGACATTACCTTATATGTGTTCATTTCCTATTTTTCATCAGACGCATTCTCATTCTCTAGTTTTGAGTTTAATTTTTCTTTCGACTCCCTATGTAGATGGGCTCAACCTCCTTTTGTTTTTCCTAGAATTTTTTCATTGAAATACAAACCTGTGTAAGTGTTTGAAAACCTGTATTGGTTATGGATATTAACAAACTGATAGAGAACTTGTTACATAATATACATACCTGCAACAGTAGAACAGATGAGAAATGGTGGGTATCATCAATAGTACTTGTCATCAACATCAACTTATCATCCAAAGCGGCATTTAATTTCTTTTATTCTTCATCATCTATGATATATATGAATAATAGATCTCAAAAGAATGAAAAAAAAAAAAAAAAAACAAAATATGGTCGACATTGCTTTATAATTTCGTATCAATATGGCATGATAACTTGGTTGATTCATTTGTGAACTAAATTAAAAACAAACTTAAACGATAATTTAGTGATGAGAGGTTGATTATTCAATGATAAACTACATATGCACGCCGTTGTCTACTTAAGGTGAGCAATTTGAAGATTCTATACCTCACGCATCTGGAATCGTACATACAAAAGCAGTAAAAACGATGGGCACTGCTTCCTGAAAATAAAAAAACCAAATCATATACCCACACTAAAAATCCATATACAACACAACCTCAAAATTAATTATCACCAATTTTCTGTACCAAAATTAATTATCACCATTTTTTTTTTTACAGAAAATAGATCTGCAAACTAAACACGACCCAAAAAAATTTTAAATTTTGTTCAACAAAAGATATAAGAGGAGGAACATAAATTATATACCTTAATCAGAAGGGGCCTGCAAACTTCTATACAAAAACCATAAAATTCGAACGGCAACGTTTCCTGAAATAAAAAACAACCAAATCATACACCCACACTAAAAATCCAAACTCATAAACCATGAACACTTCTCCCTGGAAATAAAAAACAACCAAATCACAACCCATACTAAAAACCCAAACAGACAAAGGAAACCCCAATAATTAATCATCCAACCAAAAACGAAACAGGACCAAAAAAAAATTAAAAATTCTGTTGGAAAAAGATTTAAGAACAAAAATATAAATTATATACCTCACCCAGAAAGGGCTTGCAAGCTTGTACAATAAAACCTTAAAATTCAAAGACCAATGTTTCTTGCAACAAAAAGCGAAATCAGATCAAACATCCACACACAAAGTACGAAAAAAATTAAGAAAACGCTCAGCACAAAACGGCAAGACTTGAATTTTACACTAATCAATTAAAAAAAAATTTCTTGCTAACCAAACAGAAAATAAGATGCGGATGAAGCAACACACCTAAAACGGCGCAATTGGTTTCTGGAAAACAGCCAAAAAAATCCAAAATGCCTTTCTAGACGACGAAATCAAAATCGAAACGGAGAGACAGGCGAAGAGATGGAGAGAGAGCAAATGAAAAGGAAAAGAGACGGAACAAAATGGAAGACATTTCACCACCAAATTTCAACAAAGAAGTAACAAAGCACAAAAAAATAAAAAAAAAATCAAATATTTGGCTTTTGGGTAGTTGAGAAGAAGTGAGATTTAATCACCTATCAAAGGCTAAATTGGGAGCACGATGGTGTGGCGAAGAGATTGAACAGATGAGGAAGCAAAGATCGAACAGATCTCACGAAGCGAAATCGAAATTGCTAATCGGTTGCAGAGCACATTTTTTTCCTTTTTGGATTTCTGCGATTTCTGAGGAAGAAGTCGAGAGACTTCTATTGGACACCATGTTAAAATACACCAGAAGAGTCCGGAAGAGTAAAAACAAAAAGAAGGGAGCACGATGACCAACACGTGTGAAGCATGGCACAAATGCAATTAAACAAATCAAGCAGGGGCAAAAAGGGAAGCACACTGCCCTAAAACAGTGCCACCCGAGTTTGGAATCTGACAACAAAGCAAAAGGGGCAAAGTTGAAATAAAAGAAGAATGGGCGATGACAAAATCGGAAATCCACTGGTCATCCACAGTGACCAACCCTTACGGGTTTTAGTATATATGATGTGTTTGTCTGTTCCTAAGTTACATAGGAAAATAGGCATGCTCCACTACTAATATGGTTTTTTATATCAAGTCCTAATTTTCGTTTTAAAGCCATTTAATATTACGGTCTAATGATATTACTTTTTATTGATAAGTGAAAAGTCTTAGATTTGGTTCTATCTAAAGAAAAATTTGAAGCACATTATTGCTGGCAAATTGTAAAACCCATTGTAAGATTTAGCCACTCTTCCATCTCATATAGATAATATTATTTGTTAAAAAAAAAAAAAAAAGTCTCAAATAAAACCCTAACTGAGTGAATTCCACATCGTTTTCCAAAGGCTGAAAAGAGGACCAAACGCAATAAGGGAGGCCCGCAAAGTCGGCCCAATAGTCGACAAAAGGCTGATAAACCCTAATTCATTTCTCCTCCTGTATATTAGCACTCAGCCGCCGCGAGCTTTAACCTTCTTGGTCGTCTTCTGTTATCTCTCATTTTCCAACAGAACCCATCACCCCGTTCCCTCTCAACTCCCGGTACGTTCTGGTTTTTCGTTTACTTGTTAACCCTTTGTGTGGCTCCGTCGCATCCTGCAGATGATTTGTTAATTTAATTTTTCTGTGATAACACTATATTTTTCAGTGGATTTGTTTTGTTTCTATAATTTATTTTTGGGTTTAATTCAAAATTTAGGTGGTGTTGTTCTTGGATTTGAAATTGTTAGATTCTTAGGTTCATAATTCAGATTTCAGACTGTTGTTTTTAGTATAATTCAATGAAGTCGTTGTTGGTTTTGTTGGATTTAAATTCATGGTGCTTTTGCGTTGAAGTGGTAGTTAAAATGTGAAATCTTCACCTTTCCGTTGGTATTCGTGTTGAACTGATGAAGTTTTATGCTCAGTGATGTAATTATCAGGTTTTGCAAGGAAATAATTGATATATATATATATGTATGTATGTATGTTTGTGTATAGACTTGGACATATACGGTGTGTGCGCAATGCTGCCGAATCTTAATACATTGATTTGTTTTGTGTGATTTGTATGCATATTTTGATGTACAAAGATGTATGCAAATGCGGTATTTGTTCTCGTGAATGTTGGGCTTATATCTGTTTTGTATTTTGGCAGCAGGAGATAATCGACAATGAGTCGAGGAACTGCAGCAGCAGGTCCCAAGGGGAAAAAGAAGGGTGTGACTTTTACCATTGACTGTGGAAAGCCTGTGGAGGACAAGATCATGGACATTGCATCCCTTGAGAAGTTTCTTCAGGAGAGGATCAAGGTCGGAGGCAAGGCTGGTGCACTTGGCGATGCTGTCAGTGTGACCCGTGAGAAGAGCAAGATCACTGTCAGCTCTGACAGTAACTTCTCAAAGAGGTATTTTTGTTGATCTTTCGTGATTAATTCTTGTATGACTAATTGAAGGTGTGGTTAATTTATTAAATTCGTGCATTCTTTTTAATGCTTGGTGAGTTTAGCTTGGCTTTCTTTGGAATATTTGTGTCTTGATCCAGACATTGATGTTTAACAGGCATTGAATTCTATTTAGTTCTCATTCTTTTTAGTGTGCTTAACGGATGAAATCTAGCCCTTTTGTGCAGAGCATCCTTTGAATTTTTCTCTGATGACTTGCCGTCTCTGTGATGATAGCTGTTTTACATTTTAACTGTCAAATGCTTATAGATATTAGAGCAAATCTGCATAGGCATCAGAAGGTTAACGCTTAGTGAAGTTGATTTTTCGAAATACTCCTAGGTACTCATTTCAACTGAATTCTACGTCGTTCATAAATATTAACATTTGATCCTTTGTTTGACTCTTCTGTTAATTTTGTTAAACCATCATTTTTGTAGAGCAGCTCGAGCTTATAGATTATATCATTTTGTGTTTAAAATCCTGAAATAATAAACTCAAACAAAAAAAAAAAGAAAAGGATTTCGTCTCTTTGTTTAGTTGGATGATTTTGACTCATCCGGCATTCCATTTTAGGTTTCTATTTTCATTTTATGCAACCCTAGGTTAAACAAGTTCTTTGCCCGTAACTGTAACTGAAAAATGGAGTACAGTTTTTGCGTAGTTTTACAAATATTTTTGTTGTTTTTGTGGTTCAGGTATCTGAAGTACTTGACAAAGAAATATCTAAAGAAGCACAACGTGCGAGATTGGCTACGAGTGATTGCTTCCAACAAGGATAGAAACGTCTACGAACTGAGGTACTTCAACATTGCCGAGAACGAAGGGGAGGAGGAAGATTAAGATGCCGGGTCATCCAAGAACCTTGTTCGCTTATTCCGTTTTACGCGTGGTACTGTTAAAATTAATGCTGTTTTGAAATTTTGTTTTTCTTTCTAATGAGATATTTGCTATCAGTGGATGAGAATACAGATGTGGATTGTAGGAAGTTGAACTAGTTATGTTTTAACGAATTCACCGGGTGATATTCTCAAAGTTTTCAGCACTGCTATTTCTTCTCCCTGATTGTTGTTTCATCCCTTTTAACTTATGATGTCGAGCCTGTTGCCGAGTTGACGTTGAAATTCTTTGAGATTGCTACTTTATTAGTTTTAACATCGACGTGGCTCATCCGGTCGTTGAACCTTACGTATGAAATTCAGGGCATTTTTTGCGAGGCCATTGTTTCAGTTTTTCATTCAGCTTCTCTTCCTTGTAGTGCAAATAGCGCGGATCAGCCTAGTAAAACCGACACCTCCGCAACCAGCAGATGGAAGAACAATTTGTATCTTAAATTTTCTTCTCTCTTTGTTACCGTAATGAGTTTTTAAGCCTAAATTACAAAGTAAAACAAAAATTAGTACCGCTAAAGGGAAAGCCCAGAATTTACCACAACACCGAGAAGCAAGAGATTTTTCTTCAATATTACATAACATTTGAGTTATACGGAAATGAATGACTAAGATTAAAAATAGATCTAAACAATACCAAAAATCAAATTAAACAGTTAAAACACCCAAAACCAAGAGGCCCAAAACCTAATGTGCAAGCAAAGGCGTTCGTGTTATTTCTTTGGTATGATTTGGTATGAAAGGTACGAAGCTAGATATCACATAAATTATGCAGGTTGTGAGCAGCATTTAGGTCGCTAAACTAAAGCATGTTTTGATGCTGTAAACTGTTCTCAATTTATAAGTTGGAGGATTTTATTGAGTTGAGCAAGAATGCATCTTCAATTGTCCTCTACCCTTCAACTTTTTAATACAGCATAGCTTGTCCGCACCATACTCCATGAAAGAAGTAACCATGGACGTCCAGGCAGTAGGCAAGTGCGGCCTCACAAACTTCCAACCAAGGATGGCAGAAAACGAAAGTAACAACACAAGTCAACTAGAATAGAGTACATAATAAAAAACCTACACAACACAAAAATAGGAAATTGATGTGTATGCGTGTGGGGTTGAATTCGTGCCACCATTTTTTTACATAACTTTTGACGTATTTTTTAGGAGCATATTTCGTAATATATTTCAACGACCAGAACCGTCTCCAAAGATATAGGTCCCTTACGTGTATTTAAATTACTTCTTTGGTATCTGAATTTTGTCAATTATATGTATATGCATGTATAGGTTCCCGCTGAACTTTTCAAGCTCATCCTAACTAAATTTTGCAAGTTTACGAACTAGGCAATCCTTGAGGTTAGACGAACTGAGTTGGTAATAGATAGGAGGCTTGGAGTTTATTAGTGCTGGTATGTTTGTAAAAATTCTTGGTAATTTGTATAAGAGCAATTTTATTGGAATTTTATTTTTATCCTTTATTTATTTATTAAATTTTAAATCGTGTGTTGGAATTGGGGTTTTGTACCAAGTACCAACCCTGGGCCTAGGGCGGTTCCACAGACGCGTGTTAAAAATTATTTTACAAAAAAGCGTCACAGGTTCGTCCATACATACATATATATATATATATATATATATATATATATTTCAATTTCACAATAAGTTAAACTAAAGATGGAAAACCTATAATTAATCTTGGAATAATACAATTAAAAAGATGCAGTAATCACAGTTGACTAAACTGAACTCCAAGTGTGAATCAATCAGATGTGCAGTAACCCAATTTAAATCAATATAAAAATGATATTGCAAAATATAATTCCATATAAATATCGGAAATACAACACTTTGGAATAACATTATTCAAAATTACAAGTCTACCTTACCTATGACGAGGAGCCTCCAGGTAGAAATCATAAATCGAACTTAGAATAAGGTCAACAGAGCAATGAAAATTCTTTAAAAATATTGATTTATCTTTAGTTTGAAGCCGATTGCCTTGTAACATTGTGTTTGGTTGTAGAGAGGGAGGGCATATTGCTGTTGCCTGTTGGAGTATTGACTCGATCAACATTTATAATTTAAGAATACTGAAAGAGATTTACGAGTGCCATTGATCATGGCAGAAATCTCTGAATCTCGTACACATTCCTCTGGTGCTTTGTGCTTGCCCTGAAGGTGGAAGAAGCCCCGCTGCCGAAAACGCTTTTCCCATCTGTTCTCTGCTACCGGAACCTATAGATATATTGTCGTACCAATATCATTCATTACTTGGTTAAAAAAACTGAATTCTGAAACGCAACATTCCCTATGGTGTCTAGTATACACAATTACACACCAACAAGGAAGTTAACACTCAAAAACCTCCCAAGAAAGAGGAGGGAAGAGGAAAGGAACCGTAGAACAAACACTAACATTACTTGTACAGACAAATCATAGGTATGGCGGATGTATATCCTTCCTAAATCATACACCCAGCACTCTGCACTAACATAACCATTTAAATAGAAAGCCATGGGAGTATTATTATTGCCAATGTACCTTCACTGGTATTGCAACACATACCATTCTCTTCTGCTACTTACAATGCATTGAGCGCGCACACACACACACACACATCATCAGTTCTGATCCTAATAGGAAAAAGAAGTTTATACGACCATTTTCAAAGAACTCTCTTATGCTCACGCATGTGAGACTACATGTATATCAATAATGTCTGTGAACTGAATATTAGGCTGATATGGAGAAATTAACATCATGATTTGCAGGCACATTTGCCCAAGACTATCTGCTGAAAAAGCTAACAAAATCCCATCTAACAAGAACGAAAAATTAATAAATGAAGAAACAAACACAAAGGAAAGAAAGAAAGTTTGTGGCTGGAGGGGGTGCTTATGTACCATGCATATCAAACTCATGTTTCCAGCCAGGCAAGTGACCTTCAACGTTACCATTCCATGCTACTTCAAAACCAGGAAGCTCATCTGCAAAAAAATGGCAACATCAATTTTACTGTTCGTACTTCTACAACATAACACTTACTAACCAACCATAAAGGGCTGCACTAACAAACCTTCATTTAAATTGTGTAAAGTTTGCAACACATCCACCTTTCCATCTGACATAAGCTTCCTTGTAACAGAATGGCCCTACATAACCAACACAATCATCTTAATTCCAATAATAAGTTCATAATTAATTTTTCTGATTCCTTTCGTGATGCTTACTTAGAAGACGTGAGAAAGAGATTGAATTAATAACAGCCACAAAATGATCTATGCAACAATAACAAAAACCAGATTGAGAAAATAAAATGGGCAGAAATGAATATATTCTGAAACAATAGCATACAATCCAGTCCCATTAAACTTGAACAAGATAGTAACATGGTTATCACGTACATGAGATTAATCCCTCAAGCAATACAATGAGCAAACCCACTCCATACACTTGCTCCATATTTGACCGTTAGAAAACGGAAAAGGGTGATTCTGAGTGTTCGGTACAAAAGGTCAGTAACCCTTTTGCATCAATTTCTTAGTTGGCTGCTCCTTTCCAGGAAATGCCTACTGCCTCAAACTACAACTTTTTATAGGTTTTATAGCCATTGTTCATTTGTTCTTGCTATAGGCTGTATTAACGAACAAAAGAAGTTTACCTTGTCATGAAGTCCTCTTGAAATCCTATGTGTTGCTTGACCAGTTGTCTTATATGCTTCTTTGGTCTCCTTAAGCGATACCTGATGTACAATCACAGCTTAAGTTAAAGAATTATGCAAATGAAAAATCAAATCCCAGAAAAATTACGTACGCCATCACCACCTGCCCTTCTAGTTCTTGTAGAAGTGTTATACGCTCCATCTACACCACCATATGTGACTCTGCAAGTCTGAACAGAGAAATTACGGCCCTGAGAATGTGCGCCTTCCACATTGTTGCGGTCATTTCTATACATCACATCCTTGCTTTTCCTCTCTGCTAGATTCAACATGGCAACCATCAACATCTTACAGCCAACTTAAATTACAAGCTAGAGGACAATCCTTAACAGTTTTCAAGCAACAAAGACGTGGAAATTTCACTACGGTCCACAAGATCATCTGGATGCTCAATAGATGGTTCTTTGCCTGAAACTGATTGCTTTCCAATGTTATCTCTTTCATCCCCAGAAACTTTATCTTGCCATCCCTCATCATCAGAGTTCAATTCTTCTACTGATATTTTGTTGGTTCTACCACTCTCCGGTGTATCATTAGAAACGGAACTTGGACCGAACATACTAAACTCGAAGATGCTACCAATCGGGCGACTGAAGAAGGGATCACCAAATGGATCCCTTCCACCAAAAAGGCTAGGGAACATGCTTCTTCTAGACCCAAATCCCTGGAAACTATCTACCAATCCGCGTGACCGAGAAACACCATCTCTAGTGTCTCTTTCACTTTGCATTTTGTTGGTGTTTTTGTTGGAAATTCAAATAAAAACAGGCTGTAAAAGGTTGCTGCTAGCTGGTAGTTTCTTTACAGGTTGTATCCACACATGCTGCAACTACAAAGACTAAAGTTTCCTCCATGTGCTAGCTGAAAGTGTGTTGAAAGACAGCAGAGATGTGAGCTGCTGTGTGCAAGCTGTCCAAAGTTCACATGATCTGTTTGCATGTGTTGTCTTATTGTTTATTCATTTTCTGCTTGTATAAATAAGCCTCCTTGCTAGGCTTTAGAATGATCCCATCCGAATCCCACTTCCAATTGTGAAGAAGCTTGTAAACTTTCTTATTCCATCAGTTTGTAAACCTTTTGTCATATATCAAAGTCCAAGTGTTTTGCCAAAGCTTGTTACTTCCCTCCTTTCTCTATTTCTTTCTTTGTCCAATTTTATTGAGAGTGCAAAGTGAGAGGTGTGATAGAGTTTGTAAACTTATCACCCACATATTTTGGTATTGAGTAAGCAAACTCTGGTGAATACCAACAGTTGGTATCAGAGCCAGAATACCATTCTTGCAAGTGCAGTAGCTATGGCGTCCAATTTAGTGCAACTCCAAGTTCCCACATTGAAGAAAGAAAATTATGAAAGATGGTGCATCCAATTCAAAGCATTGTTTGGATCACAGGAGCTATGGGAAGTTGTCAGTAGTGGGTATGTTGTACCCACTGCCGAGCAAGAAGCCGTATATACTGCGGATCAAAGGAACACTCTCAAGGACTTACGAAAGAAGGACCAAAAGGCGTTGTATCTTCTATACCAGGGTTTGGAAGATTCAACGTTCGAGAAGGTTGCAGAAGCAACAACAAGCAAGCAAGTATGGGATACACTCAGTACAATCTACAAAGGAGTAGATCGAGTCAAGAAAGTGAGGTTACAGTCACTTCGAGCAGATTTTGAAACTGCTCACATGAATGAAGGGGAGAGCATCTCCGACTATCACTCAAGGCTCATTGTGATAGTAAATCAGATAAGGAGAAATGGCGAGAGACTCGATGAAGTACGAGTTGTGGAGAAGATACTCCGGTCACTCACATCTAAGTTTGAGCATGTGGTGACTGCCATTGAGGAATCCAAGGATTTGGAGGTGATGAGCGCAGAGGAGCTACTAGGATCCCTCCTAGTTCACGAGCAACGCATTCAGAAGAATGCAAACCCCACAACGCTAGAGCAAGCTTTGGAGTCAAAGTTGAATATTGACAAACCAAATGGAGGTCGTGGGCAGTGGAACTCACGTCGTGGGAGTTCATCTAACCGTAGCCGAGGACGAGTTCGAGGAAGAGGTCGAGGCTATGCACAAAATCGAGGTCAGTCTCAGGAGTGGAGATCTACTCGAGGAAAGGCGCATATCCAGTGTCACAGTTGCAAGCAGTATGGACATTATGCAAATGAATGTTCATATAAAAATGGTGAGCATGTCAACATGGCAGAATCAAGTGGAAATGCTGGTGAAGAACTTACAGTCTTACTAGCACACCATGATATCAGTAGCCAACAAGATGTCTGGTATTTAGACTTTGGTGCAAGCAACCACATGTGTGGAAAGAAGGAGTTTATTGCCGAACTAAAAGATGGGGCCTATGGATCTGTAAGTCTTGGTGACTCCTCAAAGTTGCCAGTTGAAGGCAAAGGGAAGATCAAGATCATCCAGAAGGATGGTAAAGAAGAATACATCTCCGATACCTACTACATACCAGGTATGAAGAGCAACATTCTAAGCATTGGTCAACTGCTCCAGAAAGGGTACATTATACATATGGAGAATATGTTTCTCACTCTCAGAAATGCAAGGAGAAAACTTATTGCACGTGTTCAAATGTCAAAGAACCGAATGTTCCCGTTGAAGTTGAACACAAAGATTGGGAGTTGCAACATCGGTGTAATGGAAGATGAGTCATGGAAATGGCACCTTCGATTTGGCCATCTTCATTTCAATGGCCTAAAGTTGCTATCAAGTGGAGGAATGGTTCGTGGTCTACCCCAAATTGAAGCCACACGCCAAGTATGTGAAGGTTGTGTACTTGGCAAGCAAGCACGACTATCGTTCCCTGTTGGTGATACATGGAGAGCAAAGGCACCACTGCAGTTGGTGCACACAGATATATGTGGTCCATTGGATCCCATGTCTTATGGAGGTAATAGGTATTTTATTACTTTCATTGATGATTTTAGTAGGAAGACTTGGGTTTACTTTCTCAAGGAGAAGTCGGCTGCCCTAAGAATCTTCAAGGAGTTCAAGGCACTCACAGAGGCTGCAAACAACCACAAGCTTGTGGCTGTGAGATCAGATAGAGGTGGAGAGTACACCTCCAATGCTTTCCAAGCATACTGCAAGGAGCAAGGAATTAGGCATCAACTTACTGCTGCCTATACCCCACAGCAAAATGGGATAGCCGAAAGAAAGAATCGAACTATCCTTGACATGACAATGTCCATGCTTAAGGAGAAGAATTTGCCAAAAGAGTTATGGGCAGAAGCTGTAGCTTGTTCGATTTATTTGTTGAATCGATGTCCAACAAAGAGTGTCAAGAGGATGACACCACAAGAGGCTTGGAGTGGATACAAGCCGAATGTTACACACCTAAGAATTTTTGGGTGTGTTGCATATGCTCAAGTTCCAGAAGCCAAGAGGAGGAAACTTGATGATAAAGGTGAGAAGTGTGTGTTTGTGGGCTATAGTGAAGAGTCCAAGGCGTACAAGCTCTACAACCCACTAACTGGCAAACTAGTGGTTAGTAGAGATGTCATCTTCAGTGAGGAAGAGACATGGAAGTGGAACAACAAAGAAGTCAGTAAAGAGAAGATCGTCTCCATTGATTTTGAAGAACCAGAAGTTGTACCATCTATTGAGCAACAGCCTGCTCAAACAATCACAACAACTCCAGTGCACAGAATTGCAAGGAGTGGTCCTACATCTAGTGAGGAAAGCAGCTCCTCAACTCCAGTGAGGTTAAGGAGTCCCACAGAGATTTATGGACAAGAAGAAGAAGAAACCAATTTTTTCTGCTTCTATGCAGACCACGAGCCTCTCTCATTCAATGAAGCTGTGGAAGAAAATTGTTGGAAAAAAGCCATGGAAGAAGAGATCCATGCCATCGAGAAGAATGACACTTGGGAGTTAACAAAGCTCCCACCAAATCAGAAGGCTATTGGTGTTAAGTGGGTGTACAAGATCAAACGCACTGCAGATGGGAGTGTAGATCGGTACAAATCAAGGCTTGTAGCAAAGGGCTACAAACAGAAGTATGGAGTGGACTATGATGAAGTCTATGCTCCAGTTGCAAGACTTGACACGGTAAGATTACTAATCTCTCTTGCCGCTCAGCATAAATGGAAAATTTATCAATTAGATGTCAAGTCAGCCTTCCTTAATGGAGTTCTTGAGGAAGAAGTGTACGTGGAACAACTGGAAGGCTTCCAAGTACAAGGAGAAGAAGAAAAGGTGTATCGTTTGAAGAAGGCTTTGTATGGCCTCAAGCAAGCACCACGAGCTTGGAACTCAAGGATTGATAACTACCTTCACCAAAATGGATTTCGGAAATGTCCATACGAGCATTCAGTTTACATGAAGAATGGTGCAAAAGGGGAGTTCTTAATTATTTGTCTCTATGTAGATGACTTGTTGTTTACAGGAAACAATGAAGCAATGTTCTGTGAGTTCAAGCAATCCATGTTCAGTGAATTCGAGATGACTGACAATAGATTAATGTCATACTTTCTTGGCATAGAAGTGAAGCAAGGAAGTGACGGTATCTACATCTTTCAACAAAAGTACATGAGAGATATATTGGAGAAATTCAATATGGACAAGTGCAATATTGTCAACACTCCAGTTGCAACTGGATTGAAGCTGTCCAAGGAAGGAGAAGGTGAGTTTGTAAACTCAACCATGTACAAAAGCTTGGTTGGAAGCCTAAGGTACCTTACAATCACAAGACCTGATATAGTTTATGGTGTTGGACTCGTGAGTCGATACATGGAAACACCAAGGGAGTCTCATTGGCTGGCCGCCAAGAGAATTTTGAGGTACATAAGAGGTACTCTAAACTATGGTCTATTTTATAATTTTGGTGAAGATGCAAAATTATTTGGTTATTCAGATAGTGATTGGGGAGGTGACCAAGATGAAAGGAAAAGCACAACTGGCTATGTGTTTTTTCTAGGATCAACAGCTTTCTCATGGACTTCAAAGAAGCAATCAATTGTTGCTTTGTCATCATGTGAAGCCGAGTATGTTGCTGTAGCCTCAACCATGTGTGAGGCAATTTGGTTAAGAAATCTGTTGAAGTCAGTGTGTCATCCACAAGTGGAATCGACTGTGATTCATGTGGATAATGTGTCTGCAATCAAAGACAATTGAGCTTGTCTATTGTCACACAAAGGAACAAGTGGCTGACATCTTCACTAAGCCACTACCAGTTGAATCATTCCGGTTATTGCGTGAAATGCTAGGCATGAAGGCGTTTTGATTTGAGGGGGCGTGTTGGAAATTCAAATAAAAACAGGCTGTAAAAGGTTGCTGCTAGCTGGTAGTTTCTTTACAGGTTGTATCCACACATGCTGCAACTACAAAGACTAAAGTTTCCTCCATGTGCTAGCTGAAAGTGTGTTGAAAGACAGCAGAGATGTGAGCTGCTGTGTGCAAGCTGTCCAAAGTTCACATGATCTGTTTGCATGTGTTGTCTTATTGTTTATTCATTTTCTGCTTGTATTAATAAGCCTCCTTGCTAGGCTTTAGAATGATCCCATCCGAATCCCACTTCCAATTGTGAAGAAGCTTGTAAACTTTCTTATTCCATCAGTTTGTAAACCTTTTGTCATATATCAAAGTCCAAGTGTTTTGCCAAAGCTTGTTACTTCCCTCCTTTCTCTATTTCATTCTTTGTCCAATTTTATTGAGAGTGCAAAGTGAGAGGTGTGATAGAGTTTGTAAACTTATCACCCACATATTTTGGTATTGAGTAAGCAAACTCCGGTGAATACCAACAGTTTTTCCTTCTGGAATCAGAAAATGGCAGTATAGATTATTCTTTATAATAACACATTAGAAACCACGAATAAAAATGTTCAAAAAACCACTGTTTTAAGTTCAATTAGGTATGCTATTATGCTACAAAACAACAAAATATATGACTCAAAATCTAACTTTTGAAGCATTTCATATAATTGATTAAAAGTAAAATCGATGAGTTACTTACCAAAGGCAAGTGATTCAAAACAAAATTATCAACATATCAATTTCATATAATTAGAGAAAATCATAAAACTTAAATCACACAAAACTAATTAGTTATCGAAATGTGTATTTACCACTGCATTAACATGTAAGCGAACGATCATTCAAGTCATTAACCAAAAAAATTTCA